AGATATCTTTCGTGCCAGGGAAGGATGTCCAACCCCTAGCCCCCCTTGGCCTCAGAGCCCAGCACTAAGGCAGCCCCAAGGTACTCACGGGCACATGCTCGGGAGCCAGGAGACCTCGGTTCCAGTCCTGCATTTGCCTCTTGGGCAAGAGGCTTCCCCCTCCGAAACCCAGTTCCCTCATCCGTTTAATTAAGAGTACGGGACGCCTGCAACTCTGAGCACGCGGTTCCTGCTCAGTCCTTCCCAAAAGCATCATGTGTGAAGGCTGCCGCACTCGCCCTGCCTCCCTCTCTTCCCTCCCCGACTCCCTGCCACAGAGCACCTCCGCTGGGTAGAGGGGGGCTCTTCTCCACCCTCCCTTCAGGTCCCCACCACTTTCCTGTCCTGTGATTTGAGGCCATCTGCTTCCTCCACTAACTAAGCCATCAGCTGCCGGGAGCCTCCAGGGCCATATTCCAATTCGCATCCCCGGTGTCGGCTGGGTCCCAGGTGAATGCGAGGGCAGGGACCCCATGCTCACCCCACTGGACGCGTGGCCCACAACGCGGAGCACCACGTGGGAGGCGTCAGAAACGCAGGCTCTCTGCCCACCCCAGCCTCTGCCTCTGCCTCTGCCAGGGACTCCTGAGTGGATCTGGAGACTCACACACTCCCGTACGGGACGTGTTGCAAGGTTCCCCGCACCCCCCCGCTCTGACATGCCCCTTCTCCACAGCCCTTGATTTGAACACCTAGACGCCTGCAGACTTGTGGGCCTTAGCAGGGCTCCCTAAAATGGAGCTCACTAAATGTACCAAGGGTTTCCCTGGTGGGGCCGGGGATAAACAACCTGCCTGCCAATACAGGAGATCCGGGTTCCATCCCTGGGTCGGGAAGGTCCCCTGGAGGAGGAAATGGCAACCCACTCCAGTATTCTTGCCTGGAAAATCTCACGGACAGAAAGGAGCCTGGCAGCCACAATCCAGAGGATCACAAAGAGGTGGACACGACTGAGCGACTAAGCATGCATGCAGTAACCAAAGGTCATCACCTTAGGAGCCTTCGAGAAGCCTGCCGCTGACCCACAAGCAGGATCTGAACCGTGCAGCCCCCCAGTGTGACTCCGGCCAGCTGTGACCCACTGGCCTGCTGAGTCTCAAGGAAGCCCAGCGGCCTCAAAATGTTGCAGCCCCTCCCTCAGTTCTGTGGATGAGGCTACCCCCATGCTCCCCGCCCCCTCAACCCCCAGAAGCAGATGGCTGCACAGCAGCCAAGGTTTAACAGCAGAGACAAACAGACCAGCACCCCCTGCCCCCTCACGGGCCCTGCGTCCACGCTCAGAAAACGCTCTTCCTGTATTTTCTACTCTTCACGTTTACTCAACTTCAAAAGAAAAGGAATCCTTCCAAAACACGCTTTCAGGTTTTATTTTTAATAAACCCTGCCATTCCTCTAATGGCTTCATATTATCCTAAATATTTATAAAAAATCTTTCTCAGCATCACTTCTTTAAACAAATCTCCTCGTCGACTTCGATTATTTATGAATTTATGAACACAACGCCTCCTTCCCCTGGGGCAGATGGTAATGTGTAAGCCTTTGGAAAGGAGTGGGGGTGGAGGGAGGAAAAATCAACGGGACAGAACGTAAACTCACTGAGTCCTCAGTTTATTCTCCTTGACCAGCTCTGGTACAAGGATCTCTTCGTTCAGGGAAACACCATACTGTGGCCAGTCAACAAGTGGTTTGGGAATGCATGGAGACTTGAATCTAGGAAAAAGCTGTAAGCCAAGGACTTGATCCCCAGTGGGAACTGGAGCCATGTTAACAGAGGGACAGGACAATGGGACTGGGGCCCGGACAGAAAGAGCCCAGGGATAGTGGGAAAGTAATGGATATTTGCTGAACACCTACTATGTGCTGGGAGACTCCCCAGACCACTTCTGCATTGATCGTTGCAACAACCTTTCCAGGTGGCGATTATAATCCCTCATTTGAAAGATGAAGAAGGCCCAGGGAAAGAGGAAGTGTTGTGCCCAAGGTCACAGAGCTAGCAAGCAGCAGAAGAACCAGGATGGACAGCCAGACACTCAGGCCTCCAAACCCAAACCCACACTCCCTTTGAAGCAGAAAAGGATGAGAGAGAATAGAGAATGGAGTTAACCTCATCCACCCTTGGCTACAAAATTATCTTTCTTTCAACCTGATAAGGCCAATCACCCCTTTCAAGACTATCAAAGATTTAACTCCCAAAGTTCCACAATGCAACAGAACTTTGCCCATTGAGAATCCAGGGGGATCAAGTCTCAGATGAAATCTGGAAGGAGTGGATGCAAAGGTTATAAGAAGATATGAAATGAGAGTCATAGACAACACAGAGAGCTCACTTTATGAGAAAGAGAGGACAAAAGAACTTTACCCTCAGAGATGGATGAAAAAGAGGAGCCTTTACCAAGTGCCCCAGAGGAGGAGAAAAAGAATAAAATCCACCCTTCCTCCAACCCTCCCTCAATTTACTTCTCTCCAGAAGCTCCAATTCAAGTTAAAAAAAGAGAGACGGGTCTGGCCTTTGTGATGCTTATGCTCTCTCTAGTGAAGGATCATTACTGCTGCTGTTGATAATAACAATCTTTGATGCTGATGGCCATTTACTGGGGGCCTGTGCTGAGAGCTTCATGCACACGACTACAAGAAGCAAAACCACCCCATTTTACAAATGAGAACACTGAGGCTCTGAGCAGGGAAGAGACGTGGTGACCTGCACGGGGGCAGTAAGAGGGGACACCGAGGTGTGACTCTGGATCCTGTTCAGGAGGCCAGTGAACGAGATGAGACGGGGCAGAGATGCGGAAAAGAAAGTTCCAAGAAGGTCGTGATCTGTCTAAGGCTTCAAGCCAGCGCCTAGCTAAAGTGGGTCAGTTTTAAAGCTGAATTTTTCACTGATACACCATCTCCACAATGCTCGTTGGAAGACGGTTTTGCTGGAGACGGCCAAGTCCCAGGACAGCGGTCTCTTCAGGTGTTCCTCCTGTCACAGGCTGTGGGTCCTGAAGGAAGAACAGAGACTGGGGTTCCATGACGGGGAACCAAGACGCACTGGGGAGGAATGGCCAAAGAACAATGTCAAGGTCACCTACAGGCCAGTGCGTTGACCTTAACGTGGAGATAGACTGAACTTCCACAAAGAGCAAAGGGGAAACCATCACTCTTGTTCATTCTGTCAAAAACAAAAACAAAAAAATACTGGACATCAGCATATGCCAGGCATCCTGCCAGGCACAAGGGGAACCACAAAGGCCCTTCAGGTGGGAGCACGGTCCATGGGAAAGAGAGGGAGAGCTCAGCGGACAGAAGACTGGAGTGATGACCTTGAATCTGTGGCTTCATTGGCTGAGGGTCTCGGGCCAAGTCCTATACTTTCTCTGAGTCGTAAGATGAGAATAAAATCTCTACTTCACAGGTAACTGTGGCCACTCTACATCTTCAAAATGAACCTGTGTGAGCTTAAACTGTAGCTGGCCACTGCACAGAGGTGCCTGCTCTTGACTCTTAAAATAATAGCCACACTCGGGTTTATCTCCTGCCCTCCAGAAGTTGGGAAAAAGAAAAAAAAGCACAGCTAAGGATCCTATGAGAGGTGCACACAGGCCTGTGGGAGCTGAGAAACAAAGAGAAGGAATGGCTGTCAGAGAAAGCAAAATTATCTGAAAATCTCCCAAAGGACATGCAGAAACACATCCTGACTCTATCTGAAGGCCATTTCCAAGTACCCCTGTGGATGAGAACAACCTAGCCCCCTTCAGCACACATGCTTTGCCCCTCCCCATGCCTGAAGTTTAGCAAGCATCCAGATCACGTAAATTACAACCTGCCTGGCCAAGAAAACTCAGGCCAGCTGACCACTTCTGCATGCCCCACCTAGGAGAAAACCCACCACGTTTACAGGAACCCCCAGGCCTGGGAAGTCAGCCCAGCTGTCAGCTCTGGCAGCCCGCCCCAGCCAGTCATCTGGCAGTGGCAATCAAAATGATGATTCCTTTTCATTTCCACCAAATGCAATCTTCCAAGAAGAGGAGAGGCTCAAAGTCAGAGTTTAAGCTCCTTTTCATAAGGAGTCAATATTTTCACAGGATAATCCTTCTTGGGAAGGGGGTGGATTACAAATATCCCAGGTGGCAAAGTGGCTCTCTGGGGACTGTGGAGAGGCCGTTATAGGGCAAGAAGGCCAAAACGTGGAACCACACCCGGCCACTCACTCACTTCTCAAAATTCACCATCCACCTATTCACCGCACAGACATCTCTGTGCCCCAGGCCCCCCTTTCAGGCGGTGGGGATGCAAAAATGAAAGGTGACTGACCATGACACTTTCCATCCCTGCGCCCTCTCTAGGCCAAGAAATTCAGGCTCACTTGCTGGAGGCCCAACTCAGAGCAGCCCGTTTTAGAGACCGAGGCCTGAGACTCAGAGAGGGCAAACGACTTGCCCAAGGTCACACGGCTAGCAAGTGGCCCAGCAAGGAATTAAACCTAGGTATAAAGTCCTCGTGACACTCCCCGGCGGGGCCTCCTTCCCGCTCAAGCCCTCCCCCACCAGCTCCATTTCAGCGGCAGGGTGAGGATCAAAGCCAGCCCCCCTGGGCTCCAGTAAGGGAAGTCCTCGGCTCCTCTTTCTTCCCCACCCCCCGCCCCCACCTCCCCATCACACAGGACGTACAGGTTCGAGACCCATGGTGTGTGTATGTGCGCGCAGCCCCAGGAAAGCCCTGTAGGCTGCAAGGGCATCAACCCGTTAACTTCCATTAAAAAAAAAAAAAAAGGTGATTAAAAGATAAAGAGCACAGAAGAAGCCCTCTTTAAACCCGGGCCGGTGGTTACACCAGGAGGAAGTCTTGAAGCCAATGGAGATTTTGTTCACCCCCTCCAGTTCCTCAATTCTAAAATGCTGGCCTTCCAAGCCTCCAGTGGAAGTTAGCTGGGGGAGGGGGTGCAAGGCGCCCGGGGTCAGACCCTGCGTCCTCACCTGGCTCTCAGAAGGGGTCCGCCTCGGAGCAGTCACCCCGGGTACCCCCTTCCTCCGGGCGCCGCCGCGCGCTCCCCGCAGCTGGGTGGACCCGGGCGGCGGCCCCGCGGCGTGCACTCCTCGCGTCCGCCCTCCGCAGCCCACCCGAGGCGCATCCTCCGGGCGCCCCGTCCCCGCCCCGCGCCGATTCCCCCACCCTCGCGGCGCCCCTACTCCAAACCGCAGGACGCCCGGCGCGGCCCGGATCGCATCCCTTCCCCTCCCCGCAGCCATCACGCGCGCGCCCCGCACCCCACGCCCTCCCCGGGAGCAGGTCGGCTCGCAGGGCGCGCGCGGACCAGCCGGGCGGCCCGGGCGGCGGCGCCGGCGGAGCCCGCGGAGCCCGGGGCACGTACCTGGCGGCCCAGGCGAGCGGCGAGGGGAGCGCGGGCGCGGGCGCGCAGGAGCCTCGGGCGCCGCCGCCGCCGTTTCCGGGTTGGCGGGTCTCATGTCACCGCCGCAGGTTTGCGAGCGGCCCCCGCCGCGCCGGCACGGCAGCAGCGGCGGCCCTGGCGAGCGCCAGGCGAGAAATAGAAAAGGAAGAGACGCGTCGAGGAGGAAGAGGAAATGCCGCTTACCTTCGAGAAGCCGAGCCGCCGGCGCTCGCACAAAAGGAGGACGCCCGCCGAAGCCGCCCCGTCCCCGCCGCATCGCCGGGCCCGGCGTCAGCGCGCGCGGCGCCCCGGAACCGCCGCGCGCCGGCCCCCACCCCAAAACCCGGCGGCGGGGCCGGGGGTCCGGGCTGGGGCCTGGGGTGACCTTGGGCATGTCGCGGCAGGCGGCCGAGCGGCCGCGTGGGGGGCACTGCGGGGTAGGGGGGCGCTCGGCGCCCTCCCGGCGGCTTAGACGCGGAAACTCCTGCTCCGGGAGGCGCGGGGATGGCCCAAGGTCACAGCCCGTGCGGCAGGGCTCCCGTTCGAACACTGAGTGCCCCCGACCTGCAGGCCAGCCCGGTTCCTAGCCCAGGGTCCGCTCCCCGCTCACCTGTCCGTGGGGAAGGATGCTGGCCTGCCCGGCCCACCTGGCATTGGGGCGGAGAAAGCTCGTGCATTCAATACACTCATTCAGCGCACAAGGCATATTCACTGAGGGCCAACTATGTGCAGCCAGGAATCCAAACAGAATACCTGCCTTGAGGGGTGTCCGGCAATACATATCTGATGTGTCTGGTGCATATCTAAGTGCTAGGGGGAAAAATACAGCGGGCCAGGGGCGGAAGAGTGGGCGCCTCTGGTGCTCTCCTAAGAGGCTCTCCAAGGACTAATGCACAGAAATTCCTAGAGAAAATGCTCCTCATTGAAATTCTAGTTTGGGGTATTATGAGAGACCCCGTCTTTTCCCTCCTCTGTAATGGCATACAGTGATTTTTCTCCATGCAGCAGGACATGCCTAGGAAACGGAAATGCTTCTTTGTTCCCCCAGCCCTCAAACCCTATCACCATCTTGAAATTCAGCCACATTTCCTGGGAATACAGACAATATTCGTCTCTTTCCTCTGACCTCTAGCAGGACACCAGGAGTCACTCCAAAAGCTTCCACTGTCTTTTCCACCTCCAGCTGTCTTGGAGGTGCTGCAGGCAGGGGGATGTGACCAGTCACCAGATAGTAATAGTGAGAGCTCACTTACCTGATTATCACTGGTTTGTTTACGGCACCCCTTTTAAAGCCCTGTGCAGGGAGCTGGGGGGTGCTGAGATGTTAGGATTTCAGCAGGACTTCCTAGAGGCTCCTGGTCCTGGGGTGAGATGGAGGACCGTGTGCATCCACATCTGCAGGAAAGCATGACAGTGTATAGAGGAGATGGTGCAGGGGTGTTTACCCAGCTTGGAAGGGAGGGAACCAAAAGGACAGCAGGAGGAGATCAGAAAGCCCTTCCTAGAAGTTGTGAGAGGCATTAGAAACCCCTGGAAGATTGCCTGAGCACCCGCACTCTCATCCTTACAAGAGGGGAACAGATGCCTCGCCCATGGTGCTGGAGGGTGGCGTGGGGCGGGGTGGAACCCTGGGTCTTGAACTATGAAAGTGAGAAGCAGCAGGGGAAGGGTTTGGACTTAGACACAGCTGAGCTGAGTTTCTTTCTTGGCTGCCTACAAAGTGGGCATCAATTATGCTGAACGTTTTGGAAATGCTGACCAGGTGCCAAAGGCTGTGCCCATCGAATTCTCAGAACAGACACCTGCGGTAGGTTCATCACACTCAGTGTTTTGCAAGATACTGGAGCCGGGAGAGAGAGGGAATTTGCTCAAGGTCAGACCAATTGGATAGTGGTGGAGCTGGGCATGAATCCAGATTGCTTGGCTCAAAACCCACACTTAGCCACTCTGAGCCTGTTTGCTCCTCTGTGAAATGGGATTGACCATAACTACTTCATTAGGGTTGGGGGGGTAGGCAGTGGTGAAATGACATAGTACATGTGTACTATGAACCTAGCAGATTAATAGGAGAGAGCTATCACCATTGCAGTTGTCATCGTAATTGTTAAAGGCATGGGGGTAGGAACTGTGTGGCACACTTGGGAACTGCAGAAAGCTTGGTGTGATTGTAGCGTAGAATGTAAATGTGGTGGCCGAGGCAGGGCGGCGGCGGTGGGTGGCAGCAAACAGGGAGGAGTAGGTGAGGGCCTGGGCAGCGGCTGGATGGCACTTAGCCTGCACGCCACTGAATTAAGAGATGCCTGAGATGAGGGATCCAGCTTCTGTGCATGTGTCACTGGATACAGGGAGGCTGAGGGGATGCTTCTCGCCTTTGCCCTTGGCTCATTCAATCAGGCCCTGATAGATATGACAAATTCAAGCAAACGGAAACCTGGGGATAACACCCGGGAAAAGCTCTGGCAGCCCACACTGCAGTGAGCCGCTCTGTCTCCGTGGGGTGTCGCCCCTGACAACGGCAGGCAGACGCCTGTGTCTGTCTGTGTGGGCTGCAGTAACCAAAACCCTCAGACTTCTCAGGGTTTCAGAGGCTGCGAAGTTCAAGATAAAGATGCTGGCAGATTTGGTGTCTGGTGAGGGCCTGCTTCCTGGTGCACAGGCGGCCTTCATCACTGTGTCCTCACAGGACAGAAGAGGGGAGGGAGCTTCCTGGGGTCTCTTTTATAAGGACACTAATCCTGTTTATGAAGGCTCTGTTCTCATGACTTAATTACCTCTCAAAGGCCCCACCTCCCGATGCCATCACATGACGGGTTAGGTTTCAACATAGGAATTTTGGAGGGACACAAACATTCAGTCTATAACACCCAGCATCCTGAAAACAGTACTGATTTTGGAGCTGTGTAACCTAAGCAAGTCAGTTAACTCAACTCCATTAATTTCCTTATCTGTAAAATGGGAATAATGACATTCATTTTCTGTTGTTGAGAAGGTTACATGAGAATGAATTCTGAATGCTCTATAAGCTGTAAAAGCACACACATTTTAATTTCAGTTTTCGAATCCTGTCTTCCCATCGTGCATGCGGTCCACTCATCTTTCAAGCAAAGTATTAATAGCTTGCTCTTTCCTTCATGTATGCAAAAGCCCCTCAAAAATATGCTTCCCCACTGAGCATCTGCTTTTTCCCAAGAGTGAATGCTCTCATGTGTCGAAGGTAACAGAAGGTAGAAGTTGGGAGGCACAGGGACTCAGTTTTTGTCCTGCTGGTTAGTATTTTACAATTAACAACTTAGTGACCAGAGACATATTAATACATCCTTTGTTACCCTAACGTTATTGGCCGGGGTGCTTTGATATTCACTAGCATAACAAATCACGGGCCACAGGAGTTAGTTTCTGCAACCCGCCCCACCACTCCAGGTCAGTACTATGTTAAGCAGATTCCACTTGCCATTTAATACCACTGGGCTTTAAAGCAAACTCAGTGACATAGTGCTTGCCTGGTTGTGAGCATCCCCTCACTTGCAGCCACTCAGAACCAACAGACTTAAGGAGGATTCAAAGCCCGAACCCTCCAGAGGCTGCCTTCCTGGAAGGGTGAGAGGTCACCTGGAAGGGGCTTGCAGGTGGCTCAGGCTGCCACCTTCAGGCTGGACAATCCCCCTCAGTAGGAGGAGAGAGGGCTGGCCTTCAGAGTGGACAGGGGTTCTACCCCCTGGCATGCAGATCCAGGGCTAGTGAGGAATGGTTTCCAGGGACCAGGAGAATGGGGCTTACTGCTTAATAGGTACGGGGTTTCCTTTAGGAACACACACATTCTGGATCTAAAACAAGGTGGTAGTTGTGCAAGAGTGAATGTGCTAAATACCACTGAATTGTTCACTTTAAAATGGTTAACTGTATGTTGTATGTCCAAACTGCATCTCAATAAAAAAATAATAAGAATCAAAACAGTAGAATAGTTTTACCTGAATTAAAAAAAAAAAAAGGATGGGAGGAAAACTTAGTTGGGGGATGGGGAAAGCTAGTGAGCAGCACCTTTAATATATTTTCAATATTTCAACATCGCCACGATGGAGCTGACAAATGAGCCAATATGTCAGAATCTGGGCGACTGGGCACTGAAACTCCTTGTGAGCCATAGATTGAAGTCTGGGTATTAATACTTTTATTATTATTATTATACGTTAATTTGTGTTTCTAAGGAAAGGGCCTGGCATAGTGGGAAAGCTCAGAGTATTTCCCTGACTTCAGTTCTCATCGGTCATAGGGCCTTGGGCAAAGTACCCAGCCTCTCTTTGTCTCTTAAAATGGGATGAAGACGGCATTTACCCCATAGGGTTGTTGTGGGGACCAGTGCGGAGCACAGGTATAATTTCACCTGGAAGATACTTAGTATTGATAAATGGCTCTTACTATATAACATACTCATATTTTCCAGAGCACGAAGCTACGGAAAAACCAGACCAAAGAATTTCGCAGGGCGGGGCAGGGGGCTACTTTGGGATGCGCCGCCTAGGCTCTAGGCCTGGGACTGCACAAACCGAAGCACCAAGCACGCCTCCAAGACGGATCTCACACGTGCCCCGCACAGCACGTGGCAGGCGGCGGCGAGTGACTGACGCATGCACAGCTAGCCCTGCTCCCTCTGCGCCCCTCCCGGAATCCGTGGACACGCATGGCTGTCACTGGTCCGCTGCAAAATGACAATTACCACCAAGCGCAAGAGAGCAAAGTGAAAATACTGCCAGCTCCTTGGGATCGTGTTGTGAGGGTGCTGGCCAGGGGAAGCTAGCCGTAACACTAGAAGAGCCTAAATCCTGGAGAAAGGCTGGGAGTGATTTAAGAGCCAGTGTTGTTCAACAGTTACCTACCAGGGAATTGCTGTGTACATGGGACAGCTTTCATTATGCAGAAAAACTCAATTACGTGGAGGTGTGATCTTATATCAGTGACATATTCCCTGGGAAATCAAATGGCCCTACGTGAGAGGAAACAGAAATCGTCCCCTCTGGTCACACTGAAATAAAACCACTCTAAATGACTCATTTCTCAGAGCATAAAATGTCTCTCTACTCTGGTCGACAAGCATAGGTGTGAGCACATACACGTGCACACACACGGGCATGTACACCCGAAGGCAAGAGTATATTTATATGAGTTATTTTTAAGTTATGAAAGTAATAGCTGTTCACTATAGAAAAATCGAGAGAGAAAAGTATAAGAAGGAAAGCCAAACTCATCCACACACTTGTCCATTCTTTAACATTTTGATGTATTATCTTTCAGTCTTTGAAAAACACATTTTAATACAGTGGCAATCCCACTATATGCACAATCTTTCTTTGTTCACTTCTACCTAAGCCTGTCCATCACACACAGGTTTAAACAACAGCCCGGGTGGCCACTGCTGCCCTGAAACCCCCGCAGGCGAGAAGGGAAGGAGCACATGAGAGAGAAAGCACTGTTTTCCCTTCACTGCCATCTCCTCCAGGGCAGACACTATGTCTTGTTCAGCACTGAGGTCCCAGCCCTTAGAATGGTACCCGAAACACTGTGGGTGCTAAATAAAGACACGCTGAATAATGAATGGATGGGTGCCTGGGGGGATACCTTACCTGACAGGTCCAGCCACTGCCGCCTGCCCACCTGAGCAGCAGGGAGTGGTGGGGACTGTGGTGAGGGGGACGCACCCCCATCCTCGGGCATTTGCATTCCAGTGCTTACAAAAACACCCTGTGCTCTGTCTGCAGTGGGCAACCTCCCGGAGCAGTGTTCTCCAAGGGCCGTCCTTCACCTGCGAGCTGGTGAGGAGGAAAGTCTCCGGCCCTCCCATCCCTGAGTCACACACTCGGGAACCTGAGGACGGGGCCCAGCATCCCGGGGTTCAGTGAGCCCTCCAGGTGGCTCCACAGTAGCTAATATCTGAGAGCCTCGGACTCAGACGAGTGGTTCAGGGGCCTGGGGCATTTAAGAACCGCCCAAGCGACCTGTTTACCCTCCGGTACCTGAGCCCCAGCCTGAGACTCGGATGTAATTGATCTTGGGTGGGGCTTAGACCAGAATGTTCTCAGAGTCCTTCAGATGTCTGATCTGGCATGGCAGAGGCAGCAGGCGGCTCTTTTATTCCTCTCGGATTCATGCGCCCTCCCACCCGGTATGTTTTCATCACTACTGTGAACTCAGTACTGTGATCAACCACACTGACTTTTTTTTTTAATTATGAAATAGTTCATGCACACAAAGCTGCATAGAGATCAATATAACAAACACCATTAGCTCTGTCATATCTTATCATTTGGTCATTGTTGTGGGTTGACTTTGTCCCCTCCAAATTCCTGGGTTGAGAAGTCCTAACCCCCAGGACCTTAGAATGTGACTGCATGTCTGTGTTAGGGCTTTTAAAGAGGTGAAAGTGAAAAGTGAAAGTCGTGCTGTTGTGTCTGACTCTTTGTGTGAACTACACAGTGAGTAGTCTTTCCCTTCTCCAGGGGATCTTCCCAACCCAGGGATCGAACCCAGATCTACCTGCATTGCAGGTGGATTCTTTATCAGCTGAGCCACAAGAGAAGCCCAAGAATACTAGAGTGGGTGGCATATCTCTTTTCCAGCAGATCTTCCCGACCCAGGAATCGATCAGGGGTCTTCCACATCACAGGCAGATTCTTTACCAACTGAGCTATCAGGGAAGTCCTACTACAGTTAAAATGAGGCTATTCGGGTGGGCCCTAACCCACAATGACTGGAGTCCTTAGAAGAAGAGGGAATTAGGACACAGACACATACAGAGGGAAGGAAGACATCTACAAGTCAAGGGGAGAGACCTCAGATGAAACCAACCCTGCTAGCAGCTTGATCTTGAACTGTGAGAAAATAAATTTCTGTTGTTTAACCACCCAGTCTATGGTACTCTGTCAGCCTGGGAAACAAATATGGCTATATTTGCTCAGATCTTCTGGAAAACAAACAAACAAATCCGAAACATAACAGATTTGGAGCTCCCTCTAGTCCCTCCGCTGTTCCTCCTCTCTCCTTCCTCCTTCTCCAGGGGTAATGTGAAGCCTTTACCTTTAGTCTTACCTTTAACTTAGTCTTTACCTTTCTCACCAGGATCCGGAACAATGTTAGGAACAAGGATTCTGGAGCCAGAACAACGGGGTGGGAATACTGGTTCTGCCACCTACTAGCTGTGTGACTTTGGCACATAATCACCCTCTCTGGGGCCGAAGGGTCCTCATCTGCAAACTGGAAATATGAATAGTTCCACCACCTCTGCGTGCTGTTTGGAGGGTTAAATCAACTACATTTACAAAACACCTAGGATAGCGAGCACTGAAGAATTGATGCCTTCTAACTGTGGTGTTGCAGAAGACTCTTGAACGTCCCTTGAACTGCAAGGAGATCAAACCAGTCAATCCTAAAGAAAATCAACCCTGAATATTCATCAGAAGGACTGATGCCGAAACTGAAGCTCCAGTACTTGGGCCACCTGATGCGAAGAGCTGACTCATTGGTAAAGACCCTGATGCTGGGAAAGATTGAAGGCAGGAGGAGAAGAGGATAACAGAGGAGGAGATAGTTGGATGGCATCACCGACTCAATGGACATGAGTTTGGGTAAACTCAGGGGGACAGTGAAGGACAGGGAAGCCTGGCGCGCTGCAGTCCATGGCGTCGCAAAGAGTCAGACAAGACTGAGTGACTGAACAACAGAATAGTGTCTGGCACATTAAGAGTAACATACACATGCTTGTTAAACAGAGTCACACTTTCACTACATAAACATGTATGCACCTATAAAATATGCATGAAATATTGTTCACACATTTTTAAATGTACATAAACTGTCTCCTTTTACACATACTCTGTAACTTGGGTTTTTTGTTTGAGTTCCAGGGGCACTTTTGGCGAAGGTTCCATGTGAATAAAGGCTCTCTTTCACCCCTGTTTAAGGGCTGTAGTCTCCCCACTCTCACTGCCTCACCCGGGGAGCTGCCTCTCTCATCCTGGCCCCTTTTCACCCACACATGGGACATTCCCTGCCTCCCCAGGGATGGGGCCTGGCAGCCCCTAGTCAAGACCTCGCCTCCACTCTCCCCCTGAGGCCCAGGCTGCCTCTGAGCCAGCCCTCACGCCTTCCTGCTCTAGTTTCATTTCCCCTGGGCCTGGGTTTCAGAAAGCCAGCACTTCTTCCATTTCAAAGGATTTCCATGGCCAAGGTCTCCTGGGAGGGATGTCACTTAACAGCCCTGTGACGAACAGAAGGCAGTGTTCCCTTCCCTTTGCACATGAGGAAACTGAGTCACAGAAAGGTTGAGCGACTCGTAGAAGGTCACACAGGGAGTTAGAGACACAGTTACGTCAGCCCAGCTCTCTGAACTCCCAATCCTGTGTTCTTTGCCAAATTTGTTACGAAAACAGTTGCACTTAACATTTATAACAATTTGGAGTTTTCTTAGTATTCCCAATTAGAAGGTGAGAAAACTAAATTTTCCAACAGCAGGGTCCCAGGGCCCGTGCATGGGGATTCCCCTGGGGTCCTTGCTAAAAGCACAGATTCCCAGCCTCCGCCCTCCGCTACATATTCTTGCTTAGTAGGTCTGGGCGGGCCCAGGAACCTGCATTTTTGTGGCCACTGCTGAGTGGCTCACACTCAAGTTTGGGGAAGACTGGAGTCTAGAAAGCCTTGCCCTTTCTTTCATCCAACACTCACTGTGGCAGGCAGCTTCTGAGCGTCTGGGCTGAGTCCCCGGCAGCTGCCAGCTCTGAGGTGGGTGTGTCGACCATGAAGGCCAGGGTGGCGGAGGCCAAAGGCTGTGAAGCAGAGCAAGATGCCAGATCCAGCGCAGGGGCAGAGGGGGCATCTGCAGTGCACCTACCCACGAGGTGCTCAGCTCGGAGCCGGCCACGCCGACAGGGCCCCGGGTGCAGGAGAGCTGCTCCGGCGAGTCCCAGGCTCACGGTCATTAGGGGTGTGGCTGCTGGGAGCCCAGTGGCTCCTGTCCATTGGCTGTGTCTCAGCCGGGTGGCAATAGGAAGTGTTCATGGAGCATTTACTGCACGCCAGGCACACACCGGCACAGGGCTTGACATACGTGGACTCACCTTGTGGTAGGCACTGCTGTCATCTCCATTTGTCACAGGAAGAGTCTGAGGCTCAGGAGTCTAAATGACTCGCCCAAGGCCATGCAGTAAGCAAATGGATGCCTGCATCCGTTCTCTTAACCACAATTCAACACGCCTTCAAGTCATTATTTTTTATGTCCCCCTGTTCCTGGCAAAGTGCCTGGGATTGTCAGTGCTAAATAACTGAGTAGAATGAATGAATGAATGAATGAAGCAGATATTATAGTTCACTGGTATAAACTGACTAGCAAACCTAAGCTGTACTTCTTTTCTTAAAAAAGTAGGCATTTTTAAAATAAGCTTATACCGTCATTTATCTTTTTCCTTGAAGTTGACTGAGCCAGGAGGAATGCACACATGTGCACACACAGTTAATTGGAAGCGTCCTGGCTACTGAGAATCTGACTCGATTTGCTTTAATAGAGAACAGTTTTAGAGGCAGGATCTGGCACTCGCTCCTGGAGTTCTCTAAGCCTCAGTTTACTGGTCAGGAAAATGGGGGCAACCACAGCCCAGCCCCAGGGATGTGGTGAGGACTCAATGAGGAAACACAGCTCAGGTGCTCAGGGCTGCATGGGGCCCACGAGGAGCTGACCGAGGATGTTAGTGGTTGCTGCTCTTTCATTATTGCTCTTTGGGGGGGGAAAGTGAGCTGGTAAGAATCATTCTTCTGTCACATTCATTCGAAAGGAAAAGCCCCCAAAGGGTTCTAAGAAAGAAGAACTGTAGCAGTAGTTGTGGTCACGTACACAAATGAAGACAGGGCGGTAGCAAATGGCACAGAGAATCCTCGAAAGGTGAACGCCACAAGTATTTGTCCCACTGACATTTGCTTTTGACAGACATTTCTTTTAATACACTGTCATTGCTTCCCATGCCCATTTATGATGATAAGTGACCATCAAAGGATTCCTAGGGCACCAGCTTTGCTGGATGATAGAAGTGGGGCTGTGAAATTGACTAATAAAGAGATCTTGTAATACATGGGGCTTTGGAGTTTACAGAGGGATTTTACACATACTGCCTTTAATCTTTAAACCCTGTTACTTGAGGTGAGGCGGATACCGCTCCTGCCATCTGACAGAAAAGGAAATGGCAGCCTCAATGTCAAAGTGATATGCCTAACATCATCTCTTTATACTAGAAGCTGGACTTGAATCTGGTCTCCAGAGCCCATGCCTGTGGTCTGCTCCATCACAGGAACCCACTCGAGAATTCAAATGCATCCTTGGATACCTAGGACCCAAGGCATTGGGTAATTAATATGAACAGTATTAATATGAATTAATATAATTAACACTATTAGTAATTAATATTATTCATTAATATGAAAAATAGGGATCACCCACAGAATAAAAAAACAGGTTGGGAGGACTTCTAGCCAACATAGGGTAACAAGGGCTGGATTTATTCTCCGGCCTTAACTGGAAAAAAAGAGGAAAAAATATTGTTTTAGACAGTGGACAACAGCCAACAAAGACAGTGATCCCTGAGACGGGAGAAGAGGGTTGTGCCTCTAGCCTACCTGCCTCTCTTGGGGGTCTTTTCTATCCTTCCAAGTCCAGTGGTTAAGAGTCCACCTTCCAAGGTAGGTATGCGGGTTCGATCCCTGGGCGGAGAGCTGAGCCCATGTGCCACAACTAGAGAGAAGCCCTCGTGCCGCTACGAAGATCCTGCGGGCTGCAGCTAGGACCGGATGCAGCCATAAGTGAGTAAATCAGTTCAGTTCAGGTCAGTTGCTCAGTCATGTCCGACTCTTTGCGACCCCGTAGACTGCAGCATTCCCTGTCCATCACCAACTCCTGGAGTTTCCTCAAACTCATGTCCACTGAGTCGGTAGTGTCATCCAACCATCTCATCCTCCGTCGACCCCTTCTCCTCCCAACTTCAATCTTTCCCAGCATCAGGGTCTTTTGAAATGAGTCAGTTCTATGCATCAGGTGGCCAAAGGATTGGAATTTCAGCTTCAGCATCAGTCCTTCCAATGAATATTCGGGACTGATTTCCTTTAGGATGGATTAGTTGGATGTCCTTGCAGTCCAAGGGACTCTCAAGAGTCTTCTCCAACACCACAGCTCAAAAGAATCAATTCTTCGGCACTGAGCTTTCTTTATAGTCCAACTCTCACATCCATACATGACTACCGTAAAAACCGTAGCCTTGACTAGACAGACCTTTGTTGGCAAAATAATGTCTCTGCTTTTTAATATACTATCTAGGTTGGTCATAACTTTTATTCTAAGGAGTAAGCGTCTTTTAATTTCATGGCTGCAGTCACCATCTGCAGTCACTTTGGAGCCCAGAAAAATAAAGTCTGCCACTGCTTCCACTGTTTCCCCATCTATTTGCCATGAAGTGATGGGACCAGATGCCATGATCTTAGTTTTCTGAATGTTGAGCTTTAAGCCAACTTTTTCACTCTCCTTTTTCACTTTCATCTAGAGGCTCTTTAGTTCTTTGCTTTCTGACATAAGGGTGGTATCATCTGTATATCTGAGGCTATTGGTATTTCTCCCGGCAATCTTGATTCCAGCTTGTGCTTCTTCCAGCCCAGCGTTTCCCATGTTGTACTCTGCATATAAGTTAAATAAGCAGGGTGACAGTATACAGCCTTGACATACTCCTTTTCCTATCTGGAACCAGTCTGTTGTTCCATGTCCAGTTCTAACTGTTGCTTCCTGACCTACATACAGATTTCTCAAAAGCCAGGTCAGGTGGTCTGTTATTTCAACCTCTTGAAGAATTTTCCACAGTTTATTGTGATCCACACAGTCAAAGGCTTTGACATAGTCAATAAAGCAGAAATAGATGTTTTTCTGGAACTCTCTCGCTTTTTTGATGATCCAGCAGATGCTGGCAATTTGATCTTTGGTTCCTCTGCCTTTTCTGAAACCAGCTTGAACATCTAGAAATTCACGGTTCACGTACTGTTGAAGCCTGGCTTGGAGAATTTTGAGCATTACTTTGCTAGCTTGTGAGATGAGTGCAATCATGCAGTAGTTTGAACATTGTTTGTCATTGCTTTTCTCTGGGATTGGAATGAAAACTTGGCCTTTTCCAGTCCTGTGGCCACTGCTGAGTTTTCCAAATTTGCTGGCATATTGAGTGCAGCACTTTCACAGCATCACCTTTTAGGATTTGAAATAGCTCAACTGGAATTCTATCACCTCCTTACATGTATTTACTCATTACTTATATGAGTAAATACATATAAGTAAATAAGGAAAGTCCAGCCCCATTGCCACTATCTCCATTGAGTGGGTCCCCACTGGAAGGACATCCTGTTCTGCCCTGAATTTCTACAACAATGTGTCTCTGTGGCATTTATCACTTTTCTACCTTGTGCTAAGGCTGCCTAAGGACGTGGTGGCATGAGACTCTGACCTTCCCACACCTGCATCCCAACTCCAAACACTATGGTCTTCACAGGACGGTGTTCATGAAACATTTATGCAAAGAAGAACGAATGATTCTTCCTGTGCCATTTACCCTTAAAAGAAAAAAAAAAGCCTTTAGAAGAAAAGGTAAATTTACAATAGTGAAGACATGGAAGTAACCTAAATGTCTGTTGGCAGACAAATGGATGAAAATGTACATATATAAAGTGGACTATTACTCAGCCATAAAATGGAAAAATGCAATTTGCAGCAACATGGACAAAGCTAGAGATGATAATACTAAGTGAGGTCAGGCAGAGAAAGGTACCACATGCTATCACTTACATGTGGGATCTAAAAAATGATAGAAATGAACTTACAAAATAGAAACAGACTCAGGGACACAGAAAACAAATTTATGGTTACTGAAGGGGAAAGGGGGGGATGGGATAAATTAGGAGTTTGGGATTCATAGATACACAGTATGATACACAAAACAGATAACCAACAAGGACCTATGATATAGCACAGGGAACTCTATTCAATATCTTGTAATAACTTACAATGAGAAAGAATCTGAAAAAGAATATATATATATATATATATGTCTGAAAAAGTATACATTTATACATATATGTATACAACTGAATCACTTTGGGTGATTCGTACACCTGAAATGAATACAACATTCTTAGTTTAATTAATACAACTATAATTTAAAAAATAAAAAAGGAAGAGTAAGATAAACTCATAATCACCATACTTTCCCTTGATATAATTGTTTTACAGTTTAAAAAAAGTTAATCTTTGGATACACCACCTGATCAGTACCAAGAAGGACTGCTTTTTTTCCTGCAATGCTTGTTGCTGTTTGTGGTGAGAAGAGGGAAAGAACAAACACTAACATCAGAGAAATACAGCTCATAAAAGTCATGTTCTTGGCACACCGGAGGTATTTCAGAAGGACAAGAAAGAGGGAAATGATTCTTTTTAACAATTAACAGTTGGGAAAAACAACACTGTTTTAACCTGAATTCCCTCTTCTTTTGATCATAAGCATAAAACAATTTTTTTCTTTTTGCTTGACAAAAAATCATTTTAAACCCTGTTCGGAGGGGGAGCAAAGGTGGCTCTAATTACCCTGGGATTACCAAGCAACACTGCTCATTATCAGATTACCTTATTTCATATTCTCCACGGCACTTAACACCAGGTATTATTTATTTTGTTTCCTCCCACTGAGTGGACGCTTCAGGAAAACGGGGATCGCATCTGTCCTTTTCCCTGTGGCATCACGAGCACTAGAGCAGGGTCTGGTACCCAGTGGGGCCCTGTAAGTGTTTCCTGGGGCTGGGGGCGGTCTCCTGTGCTCTGAGGTCTTCCAGGAACAGCTGTTAGCATCCCACTGTCAGAAAGAACTTCGCCTTTGTGAATCGGTTCCCTGTTGGTTATGCCCTGAAACAT